TTTTCTATGGTAGACCATCTAGTTTGTGTGTCTGATAGTTTATGAGACATAGTATAATGGCTTCTCATTCCTAACCTTTAGGTAATATGTTCTGCCCTTCTTCACATGGCTGAGTCAGACATGCCCCGATACAAGTATCACTTGCATCTGTGTATAACACATAAGGTTTTGTTGTATCAGGATAAGCTAGTAGTGGGACTACTGTTAGATCATTTTTTAATTGAACAAAGGCTGATTGACAACTGTGAGTCCAGTTAAATTTGGCATATTTCTGTGTCAGAGTAATTAAAGGTTCTGCGATTTTTGAGAAATTTGGTATAAATCTCCTGTAATAGCTACACATTCCAATAAACCCTCTAACTTCTTTGACACAACTTGGAGCTACCATTTCTCGTACAGCTTTAACTTTGTCTGGGTCTGGCTGTATACCATTCTGATTAATTACAAATCCTAGATATTTTGTCTCTGTTTTGAAAAATTGACACTTTTTCAATTTCAACTTCAACTCGTGCTTTTTCAATCTGGAAAATACTTTTTCAAAGTGTTCTTCCTCTGTTTCGGAATAAATTTAATGTCATCTAAATAAGCTGAAGCAAATTGATCTAAATCCTGTAAAACTTCAGACATGAGTTCTTGAAATACAGCTGGTGCATTTGACAACCCAAATGGCATAACATTAAATTGAAATAGCCCCTTATGACAAGCAAATGCTGTCTTTTCTTTGTCTTCCTCTTCCATTAACATTTGCCAATACCCTGACTCTAAGTCTAACGTTGTGAAATATTTTGCATTTCCCAATAAAGCTAAGATGCCATCTATCAATGGCAATGGGTATGAATTTTGTTAAAAGCCCTAAAATCAACACAAAAGCGTTTGGAGCCGTCCTTCTTATCAACTACCACAATCGGAAATGCCCATGATGACTTAGATCTACTAATTATTCCCGCATGTAACAAGTCGTCAACTGTCTTGTCAATAACTGCCCTCTGAGTCAGTGGTGTCCTCTATGGTCTAAGCTTAATTGGCTTATTGTCACCTGTACCAATTTTCATCTTAACTGTATCTGTATGACCTAACTCAATATCTTTGAATTTCACCGCGATTGCTTTCTGGTACACTTATGTCAGCCATGTTTACTAGTACTGAGTCAATCCCTGCTGGGGGTTTCTAGTACTACACGCATTAATGGTCACTACATTTTGTTCCTCTAATGAGTTTACCTGGACAATGGCAGCTTCTTTTTTCAGTTGGAAAGTTTTGTTGGTATTATTAACAATTAAAAGTGGAATTTTACGGTTATTCTGGATTTTAGCTATGGACCTGGATACCATTAAGCCCGCCTCTTCTGCAATTTCACCTACATCAATAGCAGATACTTCACATACACCTGTATTATCTAAACCTGCACTCACTTTAAATTTGCCCATGCACACTTGTGCTTTTTGAGGTTGTATTATTGTTTTTGTTGCAAGTCTTACAACAGAGGCCACATGAATATCATCTTCGAGCGATACATATGTATTTTTCACCCTCAAACATCCTAAATCATAATAAAGTCCGACACCGTTATCCACAAACCAGACCTTAATAATGTTCCTGTTAATTCCCGAAACAACAAAGAACGAATGACAACATTCTACCTTGCCTATAGTAAACTTCATCTTTACAAGCTCGTCTATGTAAATACTATTGCCATTAACTGATTGTAAATTGATCTTTTTCTTGCTTAATTTTGGTTTCTGTTTCAAAGTTTTATAAATTCACCGATGCATTAATGATACTTCCGCTCCAGAATTTATAAGTGCCCTAAGTCGCTGGTTTTGAATTTTAGTTCTACATGAGTTGGGGGTACCTTCTAGTTCTATTTTGTACTCAGGTATTTTGTTCTTATTAACTCCCTTCTTTCTGGAATTTTTTTTGTTTGTTAGCTGACTTGCTATTTCACTTTTCTGCTGGCATTTTTGTTTTTATTTCACTCCTTTTATCTGCCAACTCATAAAAGGACTGTGTACTTTTCCCTGTTTGTTCACTCCACAATTTCCCTTAATATGTCCCGGTTTTCCACAATACCAACATAATGTGTTTTGACACCTGTCTTTAGTATGCCCCTGCTTTTCACATCCCCAGTATCTAAAATCTGTATTCTTACAATCTCCCCCGTCGTTAACATTTGTTTTAAGCCAACTTGAGTATGGTTTGTTTCCTTCCCTTAATTTTAATCTTAATGAGAGATTTTGTTCTAACACCGAGCAATCATAAGCTGTCTGTAATGTTTTAGGGTTTTCTCTCATAATTTTAAGTTTTATATCATCATCTTTTAACCCATCAATAAACAACCCTATAAGTTGACTCTCTATAGCTTGTTTTCCTGACCCATCTTGCCCTTTAAAAGCTTGTTCTGTTTCTCCCAAAAGTCTCTCTGTATACACCTGTACATTTTCATCTTGATTTTGTCTAATATTTATTAATGATATCAATGTATGATGAGGATCGGTTATTTCAACAAATCTAGCTGTTCTTCCTTCTTTAATGAGTTCCAATCTGTAGAATTAGTGTTATTTGAATATCTCTGTATAAAGTCGCTTGCTGGTCCTAAACTAGTTTGGAGAGATATCAGGTTTTATTTATCTTTTGCTAGGTTTACTGATTTACCATATTTCTCTATATCTTTAATTCATGTTTTAAATAACTCTGGTTTGCCTGAAAATGGTTTAATTACTTGCTTAACATTTTGTACTTCACGATAGAACATAAACTTGAAAGTTGTGAATTAATTTCTTGAAAAACAGAACTTGCATCAATGTTTGCCATAATTAGAATTACTTCACTGTCTAGATAAAACTAAAGCACTTACCATACTCTGTCTTTGCTTCACCTTCGATTTCTGGGTAGGCGTGTCTGACATGTTGAAACTGTCCTTTCTGTAAACCATGTATTCAGTAACTATCATCCTGATGAATGATGGTACAATTCTGGTTTTTTACATCTTTAAGTCCCGTTCAAATCCTGGTCACGGCACCAATATAATACGGCATGTAGGCGTAAACACACGTACTTGTTGGTAATAGCCATGTTTATTACATGTTGAATAATAATAATGTTACATTTTCAAAAGCAACATCTCATCAATATACATAGTTCATATACTCATACTAGTACTTCACATTGTGTCTCGTATTAGAACTGTCCATCTGGTGGGCTCCCCCAAGGCCGTCTATGACCGTGCAGTCGGGTATCCAAACCCCTTCTATCCTATCCCCAGAATCTAGCTTCTATTTCTCTCATCTTGACCGATTCTGTCCCGCTATCTCCTTATATGGACTTCACTTGTTGCTGGATGATACGATTGTTGAAGTATAGCCACCTGTACTCGAGGTGCAAGGTTGAGATTCCTCCTGCTAATTTGTTACTTGAAATATACCCTAATAATTACTCCACCACTAGGTGACCACTGTCCGAACGGTAAATTACATAAGTTTTATTATCAAGGAACTGGGTATAGTCTCTAATTAATTGACTAGCCGAAGCTATACACCCACTGATAAGATTCTCGGGGCCCAGACAACACCAACCTAAGTGTATATATGCAAGTAATTATCCACACCCCTGTGAACTACCTATATGTGTTTTATTGATATACTATTGAACATTAAACGAACTATTGTTTAAGCTAACTTATTCCAACCAATCCCATATGAAAATCCAGATGTGTTACACTAAAACCCTATTTTGTTACGTAAGCCCATGCTGGATGATAGGCCAAACCTGATTTATTACCACGATTTGTTGGACATAGCTGATCACATACCTCCACTAGAACCAGACACAGACATCAACCTTCTCGTCGGTAGAGATGTTATCGAAGCACACTATGTGTTGGATCAACGCATAGGCACCCCTTATGCTCAATGTCTTCCATTAGGGTGGACAATAATCGGAGAAACCTGTCTCCACAAGGTACATGCACCTCAGTCGATGTCATCATTCAAAACGTACCTGTTACCGAGTGGTCGAATATCTTTGTTCCCACCATGCCCAAACAACATATCCATACGTGAAAGTCAAGTGGATCAGTTTTCTGCTCAGAGGAATGGAGATAACTTCGGGCAAGATGTTTTCGTGAAATCCGCAGATGATGAGACAGGAGCGATGTCGGTTCAAGACAACAACTTTATAGAGATCATGGAAGAAGGAATGTTGAAAAATGAGGATGGGAACTGGGAGGCTCCGCTGCCGTTCAAGAATCCTAGACCTCGGCTTCCGAACAATAGAGATATGTCTTACAAGCGCGCTGAATCTCTTGACGACACCTTGAAAAGGGATCCCGTAAAAAGAGCTCACTTTATAGCGTTCATAGATGAGATCTTCAGTCAAGGCCATGCTGAAGAGAATGAAGAATTAGGATACCTTACTATATTTGGTATGTACCACCTCCAGAAGAAGGACCGCATACGGGCAGTCTTTGATTCTTCTGCGGAAACAGATGGTGTTTCGTTGAACAGAGTACTATTAAAAGGTCCAGACCTTACTAATAGTTTGTGGGGAGTATTAATGAGGTTTCGCAGAGCCAAAGTTTGAATCATGGCAAACATCCAGAAGATGCTTCACTGCTTCTATGTCAAGCCAGAAAACAGAAATTACTTGCGTTTCTTCTGGTATTGAGATAATGATCTTTCAAAAGACATGATTGAGTTCCGAATGTGCGTGCACGTGTTTGGTAACACGACGCCTCCTGCGGTACCTACATATGGTCTTCAGGAAACCGCATTTAATGCAGAAGAAGCTCATGGATCGGATGTAAGAGAATTTGCGGAAAGAAACTTCTACGTGGATGACGAACTTCCCGCGTCCTGAGGAAGCCATTTCTCTCTTACAGGCAGCCTTATAATCGGGAGGCAACTTAAAGCTATACAAGGTAGCCTCTCATCCACAGGAGGTCCTCTCGGCTTTTCCTAAAGTTGAACTTGCCAGTGGTTTGAAAAACTTAAACCTTTCTACAAATGAATTACCCATCCAACAGTCTAGGCCTCAAGTGGGACCTAGTCTTGGACGCCTTCAAATTTTGCGTCGAAGCCGACAATAGGCCTTACACGCGCAGAGGTATACTATCCCGTGTTAACAGCTTTTTTGATCCCTTGGGATTGATTGCACCTACTACTATCCAAGGAAGACTACTTCTCAGAAAGGTATCATCAACGGAAGATTGGGACTCGCCCCTCCCAAAAGACTTGAGCGATGAGTGGGAGCACTGGGTTGAGTCCCTGCAAGATTTGAATACGCTGAAAGTGCCTTGGACCTACAGTCCGGTACCTATCTACGACGCGTCTTGCAAAGACATTCATGTATTCTCTGATGCGTCAGAAAAAGCCATTGGAACTGTTGCTTACATAAGAACCTTCGACGATGACGGAAACCCTCATCTGGGGTTTATCTTTGGCAAATCGAGACTTGCCCCAACACAAGGCCATAACATTCTCCGTCTAAAGCTCTGCGCTGCAGTTCTCGCTGTAGAAGTGGCCGAATCCATTGTTCAACATTTGAATGCCAACGTGTCCAACAATGGAGATTCTACACGTATGTCGCAAACCGTGAAGCGCGTATCCGTCAGTCTACAATACCTGCTCAGTGGTCTTATGTCGCGACAGACAAGAACCCTGCCGATCTAGCCACTAGGGCTATACCGCCATCGGAAATGTCAGGGTGTATGTGGCTAACTGGTCCTTAATCCTTGCTTAAGAGGCAAGATCCGCTCACAGTAGAGACAAACACGTACGGCATGGAAGAACCTGATTTGGACAAAGAAGTAATACCAGAGATTAGGACGTACAAGACCGATACAAAACAAGGGTTGACACCCTGGTCTCAGCGTTTTGAGAGGTTTTCCATTAGGGACAACCTTCTTCGCGCCATTATGTGTCTCAAACGCGTGGTTTGCTCTGCAGATAGTACTACTCAGAAAGGAACAACGAATAAATCTGCAATGACTTTGGAAAAGAGAGAGTGCTCATTCGTTTGTAATTCCAACCAGGTCAATCGTGCAGTAGTTCATCGACGACCTTCCCTTCCAGTCAATCGTCCGGTAATTCATCGACGACCTTCCCTTCCAGTCAAACGTCCTGTAATTCATCGACGACCTTCCCTTCCAGTCAATCGTCCGGTAATTCATCGACGACCTTCCCTTAAGTCAATCGTCCTGTAGTTCATCGACGACCTTCCCAACAGGTCAATTGTGCAGTAGTTAAGTGTTCAGTTAACTAGAACCTCTACCATTATCGTCCTAGGTAAAATTCACAACAGCTTTCATTGTCAAACTCGGATACAGTCAATAGAACCCCTATCATTGTCTTACTATGCAAAGGTCACTGCAACTTCTATCATTGGCTAAGTAATGTAAATTCACTAGAATCCTTGTCATTGTCTTAACTATGTATACTAGAACTCCTGTCATTGTCTTAACTATGTATAATAGAACTCCGGTGATTGTCTTAACTAAGTTTACTAGAACTCCTGTTATTGTCTTCACTAAGTTAACTAGCATCCTTGTCATTTTCTTAACTAAGTTCACTAGAACCAATGTAATTTTGTGACTCAGCTGTCATCCACGTGTTTTCGATCTAGATACTTTTAATCAGTAATTTTTAATTTCCCATATTTTGTAAAGTAAGAACACCAAGAGCTACTAAATGACATCCCTGCCTCAAAATCACCCAGGTAGAACACTGGCCGATAAGCAAAGCCAAATTTTCTTCTGTCGCCTACATTTTGCTGGACGTCTGACAAAGTTTGGACAAGAGAATACCTTGACCTATGTTCAAGGTCAAAGGGGGTCAATTTTTTAACGCTTTTTACGGATCACTACGAGCGAGGCGTAGAATCATGATGGTTGTCTGAGAGGAAATAATTAAGGCTAAAAGAGTATAAAAAACCTCAATGGATTAAAACCTGCAAAAATCCGTGAATTGTTCTCGAGGACTAAAATAAACAATTTTGGTAAAAATTTACGGCGGTTATGTTATGTCGTCATTTCAAAGGATAGTTCTTGCTCTGGCAGGAGACGAACGCAAGTTTTCAACATAATTCGGGAATTTCCGTCAATATGCAAACGAATGAATGAATACTGCCACAAAAAAAGAAGAAAGAATAGTAAAAGTAGCGGTTTTTAATTGGTTATCACTATATGTGTAGTTAAAGAAACCCGACTCTAAATTCTTTAAATTCTTAGCAATTTCCTTCTCGAAGGGTTATATCATCGATAGCAATATCTCCATGGTAACCACGTCCTTGTGTAGCTCTGAATATCAGATGATAGTCGTTGTTTCGAGGGGAAAGTTGAACACGTGCTGAACGCCAATCGTTGCCCAGGTTGCCACTCTTTGACCACAGAGGAAGCTGGCTATCCTAGAAAATATTACACCAACAACAATTAACAAGAGCATTCCAAAAATACCAAAGCACACATACTTGATGATTACGAAATTAATTGAATTATAGGGAAAGAGCACCTCCTCATCTAGATTTGAACTTTCTTTCGATCACTTTAGATTTTCCGCAGTTGCATTATATTTCGGGCCGTTAGCATCACTGACGAGTCCCAGAAGGGCGAAACAGTTGTATGACGTAACATCACCCATGAGTCCTAGAAGGGCGAAACAGTTGTATGACGTAACATCACCCATGAGTCCTAGAAGGGCGAAACAGTTGTATGACGTAACATCACCCATGAGTCCGAGAAGGGCGAAACAGTTGTATGACGTAACATCACCCATGAGTCCTAGAAGGGCGAAACAGTTGTATGACTTATCATCATGTTGGTGATTCATTATTTAGCTTTACTGCATCTTATTCTAAATTTGTATTGATAGGTGCTGTTCACATGGCCTTTCGTGCAATTTTCTATTTCGGAACGGTAATTCGGCCATGTGAAATATGTAACGGTGTCCAGGTTGTCACATTTCTATGTGATAACACTATAAAAAGCCCGCCATGGACCCATATAAGAAATCATTATATGACACATGTTGTGACGAGGGAGTTTAATTGGAAACAAAGAAAGAAAGTACAAGCTGGTTCTAGTCAAATAAGGATAAGAAACTGATAGAAATCTGGAGCTCTAACTCGAAAAAAGGACAGTCAATCGAAATCAATATGATATTAACAACCTTTACTTAGACTTAAGGCCCTACAATCTAAATAGACATCAGCCATCTGATATTTACAACCTTGACTCAGATTCAAGGCCTTTCAATCTAAATGGACATCTGACATTTACAACCTTGACTCAGATTCAAGGCCTTTCAATCTAAATGGACATCTGACATTTACAACCTTGACTCAGATTCAAGGCCTTTCAATCTAAATGGACATCAGCCATCTGGTATTTACAACCTTGACTCAGATTCAAGGCCTTTCAATCTAAATGGACATCTGATATTTACAACTTTGACTTAAATTGTAAAAGAAACTGTAGTACAATTTACAATCGTGTTAATACAGTCCAAATGGAAAGCCGTCTTTCCAAAAGTCAACCAACGATTTGACATTTCTGTGTTAAATTATTTGATTGGAAATTTTAAAATGAGTAATATAGGTGATATTAGATTGTACATGAGATGGTGTATGGAAAAAAGACAATGAATAAACAAAAACAAACAAAATTCAAGACGAAAAATGAAAAGAGAAAAGAAAAAAAATCAAATGCCAACGGCATTTTAATTCTAACTAAAAGGTTCAATGAACAAGGCCACGATGTGAAAACAGATACCCCGAAAAAGTAAAAGGAAAGTAAGATCTGGTGTTCAGGAAGGGTGAGCGTTTCCAAACTCATCGACGACAAAACGTCATGAAAAAATCGGCCAATGTAAGTAAGTAATGTCACGTTCCGAAATGAGAACAACGTAGCCAACAACGGAACTACCTGGCGTCCTAACAAGTACCAAGCATATCCGGTTTCATAAGGAAATATAACATTTTTTCAGTAAGATAATTATGACCACAAAACTTTCTAATGATACTGTAAATCACTTAGTTTTCGCAAACACTTTATCTTACCTCTTCAGACATATTCGCGAAAAATGATTTCGCGAACGGCAATCTAGAAATGACTTTAAATTCGCATAATGATGGTTTTTTTTTTAGATATACGGACTCTGATATCAGTAATAGAATCTACACGGATGCCATCAAGAATTATTTCTGTACAAATAAGCGCGAGTGATTTGAATTCGCTGTTCACTCTGCTTTCCCATAAAAGCGAAAATAAACCCTACGCAAAAGTAATTTATAGCAAACAACGATTTCCAGATAATGTTTTGATCGAAAATTACAGACAATTTCTACTCATTTTTGTACCTTTCATATTTTTTCTACATTACCATGACCAAGGTGATCGGCAGAACCTATATTAGAAGAATCACGCGGGCAGTGATTCATTAACCCGTTTGTAGGAGTCTGGATCTCAATCTCGAGGTTTATTTCTTCCAATTTCCTTACGTTTGGAACAAAATGCATTGTCCATGCAAGCAGAATCATGCTTTTCATTGTTTTTTAACACATTCTTCAAAGTAAAATTGCTATCTATTGGAATTTCATGTACGCAACCTGATACATCGCATCATTATCAATAACGCATGGACTTTGTATTGATAATGATGATTCACACTACAAAATATTGATATACGACCCTACTGAGAGTAGCGTCAATGCGCATGTCAGCAAAGTTGATATATTCCTTTACACAAACTGTATTTCAGTGTTTATAAGATGGGTATGTTTCTTACATCTGTGATGAGGCTAAGATCAGCTACTTGGATACCCCTCATACTGTACCAGAAATTGATACAGTATGATTTACTGTGGTCAATGACGGGAGAAACTAGGTCCGCTGCATGTCCATACACGTAACTGGACGTCTCCAGGTACATGTAATATCCTGCCTTACCTGTAAACATATGTCAAAAATCAAACTTAATACCGTTTACTTTGGACATAAAAACTTCATCCAAATGTCATATATCTGGTTGTGTTTTATAAACATTTGTCCGTGTTCTTTTAAATGAAATGGACATCATTGATCGGTTTAGAATCAAACCCAGGATTATTTTGGAAACAGCATTATCATGTACTGTTTCACGACTTCAATACACAAAACCCAGTCTGTGCTGTTACTACGATGGGTACGTCCTCTTTTGTCAGATCTTGTATGACATATTCAAGCTATATGATTTGCGATATACACACCTCTACCGATCGTATGGTCAGTTAATGGTCCAGTTGATACGGATTCCGTAGGACCAGCATATCGTGTCCAGTCGAGGTCATCCGTAACACTTTGTTTCCACGTGCAGGTGTCTACTTCGAAACTACAATCGTACTGTGTGATCCCTACAACAAAGACGAGTTAACGGCTTTAACATTACGTAACTTAACAATGATAAGGGAACAAAGTAATAACATATACCCCAGGGATACTACATGTAATTATATTTCGTTATGTGAAGAAGATACCACAAACGATTCAACTTCCTTCGCGGTTCCACTTTGATTTGTGGGCAATAAAGGTGATGCCAAATATGTGGAGCTTTGATCAAAATCTCCTTCAAAGAAACCACAAGAGTGCTGATAAAAATGTCTAAAATAGAAGCTGTGACGGCACCATAAACCCCAAACTGTGAAATTTCGACTTACTTGCGAAAGATATTATGATATTTTATAAGTTTTTGAAGGATTGGAGGCAAGAAATATCATGTCTTTGTTTTATAACTAACAAGTCAATGCAAAAGTGTTTCTTACTGCCAGTTGGAAAAATTACCGTCAACTTTCAGCGAAATTGTTGCTTGAACAGTTGCTCCGGATGGAGATGTCGCCGTACAACGGTATCTTCCGGTGTCGTATGCATATACTTCCGGTATAGACAGGATGTTACTGTTCGTCGTTACGTCATAACGAGAGCTCATTGGAACACCAATTTTCTCCCATGTTATGGTCTGGTCTGGTGTTGGCGTGGTCAGACATCTAAGTTGAACAGGGTCCAACACTCGGACGTGGTCGACAACCCCGGCAACTGATGAGGACACGGTAGGTGTTGTGCCGGACATTACAAGAGGAGCTTTTGTAGTTGTGACAGCATTCACTGTAAGGCAGAGAATTATTTAGTGCTGGTGGCTACTTTTAGAAATATTTTTTTATTCATGTTTCCATGGTGAAGATTTTCGAAACAACTTATATGTCAAACTATAGTCTGTGATTAGTAGGAACGTTTCATTACGTTTAAGGAAAATAAATGAAAATGGTCCGAGGAGCTTAATTAAAACTGAAGTAACAGGTACATGAAGTGCTTGATATTCCCGTTCGTTTTGATCAACATTGACGATTTTTATGATTTGATAGGGTGATTTTTTTTGTTACATCGGGAAGTATAATGCATTAATAGCCTGTTCAGAAACGGGCAAGGACAAACTCGTACGGAAGCCATTCTATATGACTATGTTTTTAAGAGATAGACCATAAGGTTTTTTTTACACAAATATTCCAATCATTCTGTCAGTTCCTCATTAAAGGTCCTATAAGAGATTTTACATTTGTAAAATGGAGTTAAAATTCCTTATCGGCATTTATCATTTTCGTTATCAGTGTTCCCTTATCGCAAAGCTTACACTGACAACGTTGTCAGCCTCCACCGGTTTCTAGTAGTGTGGTCTGATACTACTATTGGTAAAACAGATATCCTCCAGATTTCTGTTACTAAGTCTTTGTAGAACAGAATAAATGAAATATAAACACATCACGTGGTAGATGGCAGCTCTTTATATTACATAATTATCACTTAGATTGCCGTGTTAAGTTTTTTTTATTATTAATTAAAATTAATTGTTGGTACAGAATGGTTCAACGTCATCTTATTTCAACTGTAGGTTTAAAAAGGATTAGATAAAAAGACTCAGATGTAGTATTAGGATCTGAAATAACCGGTAGATAGCTCGGAGGATCTGAAATGACCAGTGGATAGCTCGGAGGATCTGAAACAACCGGTGGATAGCTCGGAGGATCTGCAATAACCGGTGGATAGCTCGGAGGATCTGAAACAACCGGTGGATAGCTCGGAGGATCTGAAACAACCGGTGGATAGCTCGGAGGATCTGAAATAACCAGTGGATAGCTTGGAGGACCTGAAATAACCGGTGGATAGCCCGGAGGATCTGAAATAACCAGTGGATAGCTTGGAGGATCTGAAATAACCAGTGGATAGCTCGGAGGATCTGAAATAACGAGTGGATAGCTCGGAGGATCTAAAATAACTGAAGGATAGCTCGATCGACTAAAATTACGGTTATAGGTAGAGGTTAAGTTGACCTACTTTCCCATACCTTTACACATACAATCACTGTCAGTGATCACTCCGGAGACTCCAGCTGGTCCTGGCTCCCCTTTCTGGCCTTGTGGTCCTTGCATGCCTATTGAAAAAGAAGGACAATATTAAGAAAAAATATTAAAAGTACATGTCAAAAGAATCTTTATTCCAACACAAGTTCGATGAATGACAGAGCAAGATTAAAAGAAAATTTTACACAGAGACTCCAGAAAAGGATATAAAGACCAGGTTAAAGGGAAAGGTTAGCAGTATCCTTTACTTCATCGACGTCATCTTTGTCAGACAAAATAAGTAATGTCACATTCCAAAATGAGAACCAGGTAAACAACAATGGTGCCACCAGGTAATCCAACGAGCATCAGAGACTCCCGCCTTCATCTCTCACAAAGAAAAGGAATGTTTCCCAATAAGATATGACGACTGTTTAACTTTCCTATCAACCTGAACCTCTCCAAACCTCGTGTTGTAATTTTTCCTCTCAGATGCCGAAATCTTGCACGATATTTGAAAAAAGTCAAGAATCTAAATGCAGACACCATAAGTTAGGGAAACAGGGTTGTTACTACCCAGAAATGGAGAATTCACAAATATCATACAGCTCGTTGCGATACTAGACTTAACACCTGGTTTACCTCTTTTGAACGTCTCCGGCATATTCCAGTCGGTTTTCTTTGTAATTACTTTAAAGGGTTTGTCGAGAAGGTGATGAAATCCAGAGGGTACTTGATTTCAAACACCTCAAACATATTTAGTACAAAAAGTCTATTAAAACAGACACATTTATCATTCATGATTGATGATTTTGTAAACAGAAAATTGAAACCGATATCTCTGAAACGAGAAAGACCGGATGTTCCAGAAGGGAAAGCGGTTTCTCTTTAATCGAAGACAATTGGTATTTCTCCATAAGTGCACCTAGAGTTCTCTTTGTCTGATATTAAGTACTTAGACAGACTTTGCCAACATGGCGGTTGTCGTCAAAGAAGCAGATGTCATTTCGGAACAACTGGTCATATCATTGTAGTCCTTTTTTCATTGCTCTCTGCGCAAATAATTCCTTTATCCTTTTATGAAGACCTGTTTTATGTAGAATTAGATTTTTGAATTAAAATCGAATTTACGATCTTTTATTATTGTAAGATAACACGGTGTCAGACAAACAGAAATATTTACAAATAAACCAAAATCACTACAACAATGTTAGAAACTGAAAAAATCTGTTACTTCGTTAATCGAACTCACCTACATCTCCGTCCGCGCCATTTGCCCCTTTTGGTCCCGTCGTCCCTTTGTCACCAGCAACCCCTGAGGTACCTTTTTCACCCTTTTGCCCTTTCAGTCCGACTTGTCCGCTGTCTCCTTTACCACCTACGTCTCCTATATTACCAGTTTCGCCTTTCGGCCCTCGGAGACCTGGGCCGCCCTCTATGCCTTCAATACCGGTACTTCCTGTTCCGCCGTTCTGTCCGGGTGTTCCAGGCTCTCCTTTGTCCCCTTGATATCCCTTTTGACCTTGAAGTCCTACGTCACCGAGATCTCCCCGTGGCCCGGTGATTCCTTAATAATACATACACGTGGTCATTTTACAGTCAATGCAGTATCCGCAATAGTTTTTTTTAACCTTTTCAATATTGAATATTTCAATGACACTAACTTTGAAAAATATTTGAATCCTGATCTCAATTTCATGTTTTTATCTGGCAATCAAAAAGCTATATTAAGTCATTCTTACTACGTAAACCAGAAGTCATCATCATCATCATCATCATTATCACCACCACCACCACCACCACCACCACCACCATCATAATCATCATCGTCATCATCATCATCATCATCATCATCATCATCATCACCATCATCATCATCATCATCATCACCACCAACATCATCATCATTATAATCATCATCATCATCATCATTATCATTACCACCACCATCATCATCATCATAATAATCATCATCATCATCCTCATTATCATCACCACCACCACCATCATCATCATCATAATCACCATCATCATCATCATTATTATCATCACCACCACCACCACCACCACCACCATCATCATCTTCATCATTTTCATGTGTATATTCAGTTTAAGTTTAAGTTACTGTCTACAAAGTGATCGAGTGTAACTTTATCAACCTATCATCTGTTTTATTTAAGGATTAAGTACAATTTTCCACGAGTTTGTTTGCAAGAAGAGTTCAATGTGTATAATAAAGAATCAGTAGGAGGTCACGTGACGTAACAATATGATCAACACACCTGAGAATCCCTTTGGACCCTGTACGCCCTTTTGTCCTGTGAACAAAAACAAAACAAAAAACAAACAAACAAAAAAATAAATAAATAAACAACAGCAGTGAATATTTACAAGATCTGACACAATTTAAAGCTATTTCAAACCTTTCTCACAGAAGTTGTTGAATCAACGACACAATCATTACATAACATTACATAAGGAAGTTGTAATTATATTCAAATCATACGTATGTTAAGCTGTAATTCTGATCTCTTGGATAAATGTCATCAATAGAATTTTCTCATGCATTCAATAAATTATTCAGTAACGACATATAATTCATTAAGTAATTGTGATCGTGTTTTGATCTCCCCAATAAATATTTACATCTGGAATGTTTCTCGTTAGCTTTGTAAATATAACCTTGTAGGAGATGTAATTTCTTTCTTTCAAGTACGATGTAATACTTTCTTGGTCTTCGAGAATTTTAAATGAACAAATTAACTTGAGATATTTCATCTCATGGCTTTTTCAGCGAAACAATTTTGTCGACTGAGGTTTTTGATCGTAGCAAAGAAGTTAATGAACAACACTTTATTAGTTTTAGTTGTTTTTCCTAACAATTGTCACAAAGAAATAAGATTTGGATGAAATTGTGTACATGCAATGTAAGATCGCTGATACATGCCCTCCTACAAGAGGAACACTTAATGTTCAGAGGCTGAACATAGAGCTCTTCAACAATTTGGCGGAATCAAAGAGATGTTGATATCCACACTTATATATTAATATATACCTTTAATCGCTGAAGGAATAAAATTTGTTGTTTATACCTTTAAACAATTATTTTCCACTGCCTTACATATATGGCTTTGGTGGGAATATTAATGTTAAGATATGATACACACTGCTACTGCGAAAAAATCTTATTTAAGAAATCCCTAAATCACAATACTGAAAGTGTGGCCTACTTACCCTTAACACACAGAGTACTGTTACCTTGACAGTGAGTCTCCAGAACTTTCTCCTGGCAACAGATAGAGAGAAGATTTATACAAACTCCTTTAAAACACCTTTTAGGCGTCTTCAATGACTTTTTGTAGCTATCATTAAAAAAATAAAAACAAGACAATATCAACATGTCACTATAACTAGAAAACAAAATCAAGTTCAACAAAAGTAGGACAAAATGTGAACAAAAGATACACGGAGACTCCTACAAAAGTACAACGAAAATAAGACCAGGAAGGGTAGGCATCTTCTGCTTTATCGACGGCACCTGTCATTTAAAATGGTAAATTCAAGTAAGAATCTTCACCATGATTTTAAACACCCTGTTTTTTAACCTTGTGTTAGGAGTTTGAACGTCAGATGACATATTGAAAGAAAATCTTGATGATGGGAACACGCCCTTTAACATAAAATCAACTGTGACATGTAAACATTTTTCATTAAGCTATAGTTTTTTTCAGTCATATTGGTACGGAAGCCAGGGAAACATGCCGTTATAATGACTTAATATCTCGTAATACCTAGTCATTATTACATGTACGATATAAGATTTTAACCTGTGACATTTACTGGCTTCTGTATAATTGTATACATCCATTGAACAAACGAAAAATGGCTAATGTCCTTTTAGGTTTTTTTTTCTTGAATAATTAATTAAACAAATATGCTATCCTATCGTTATTGTAAACGTTTATACATACATTTATCAAGCAGAACAAATATATATGACTTATGTAGCTGGGTAAACTATACCAAAATGTTTGCTGGCATTGTGTAATTAATACAAAAACATTACGAGAAGACTAACACGTGAACATGATTACAACTCAAATTCAATGTAACTAGGGCAAGATATGAAACAAAGAATGAGATCAACTTTGACGACTGTAAAACTCAACCTGCATCTTTGAAGACAATATTCGAGGTAAGGTTTATATCTCCACGATATTCAAAATAATGTCAGTTAACGATAATGTCAACGAAGAACGCAAAATCACCGTGTCGTAGTTTCTGTGCTATCTTCGTGTTGGTTGTGCTCTCTATCAATTCTAGGAGTCATTAAGGTTTTTGACAAGTTCACAACTGTATTTTCGTAATAACTACACCACGTGTATTTTCGTCTACGGACGAGTCCTAGAAGGAGGAGACACATGTATGATGTTGAATCACTGACGAGTCCTAAAGGGTGAAAAAGCTGAATGATGTAGCATCACTGACGAGTACCAGAAGGAGCAAACAGACAAACAGACTGAATCTCTCAGAAACTGTAAACCAACTGCCATTTTCATTCAAATCCAAGATACCAATTGATCAGCTGACTTTATTTCATTATCCCAAGATACAAGCTGAATTTATCAAACCGAATGCAAGATTCCAACTGACTTATTTTCTTAAGACTTTCCTAATAAAGTGAATTTAGACTGACTTGTTGGTGAATCAAAACTTTCCTGTGTGTTAAGTAAGGTTTACCTATAGGTGAATCCTGTAGGTGAATAACTTAAGACTTACCTGTAATTGAAGTATTTCTTCAACCATGCCATGCATTGAAAGTTGTCTCTTTAATCTATTTTGGAAATGCTCGGCGTAATGTGGTCGACTTCTGATAAAATCCTCGAACACGTCTATCACATCCTAAGGAAGAAAATAATTTGATAAATAAATCACAGACAGAAAACGATAGGAACAGACTGATATATGTAAACGACTGCGTCAATAAGCTTCCTGATGTCAATAAAACGGATGGAGCATCATACCACGGTATACTGAAATCTCTCCTATGGCTGACCCAATTTAAGAAGAGCCGTTTTTTATAAAGATCCAAATATGGAAACAAGACTCATGAGCCAAAAACATTTTCGAGCAATATCTGTCTATAAAGTGTAAAAATCGTTAATTTCAGCAACAAAATCAAGTGTATCATAAGGAAGACTTAAAGACAGTGGTGTTGTATGGGGTCAATTTCAATCTTATTCCTTTAAGTATTTCACCATGCGCCTATATCCCTTACTTCAACTGATATGCAGTCTTTTTTCAAGCCAATTACTTGTATATATATACAAATTTTACATACATTCAGTATACATCTAGAAGGATGGCACAAGGTATGATACATTTTAAGGACGAATTCTTTTGACCTTTGACCGTAAGTAATACGCAAAAACTGACTAGTTGGGAGAAAATTGCAAAAAATAAGGCACGGGGACTCACTCTTGATTAATCATAAAAAGTAATTTTGTAGCCTTTTATTTCTTTGGTTGCGATGCATTTAAAGTTCGATAAACATAATGAAACTGTACGACATAGATTTGAGGATATAACAAGGACAGATTCCAGGATATAACAATTACATAGATTCCAGGATATAACAAGGACAGGATATAACAAGGACAGAGATTCCAGGATATAACAAGGACAGAGATTCCAGGATATAACAAGGACAGAGATTTAAGGATATAACAAGGACAGGATATAACAAGGACAGAGATTCCAGGATATAACAAGGACAGAGATTCCAGGATATAACAAGGACAGAGATTTAAGGATATAACAAGGACAGAGATTCCAGGATGTAACAAGGACAAAGATTCCAGGATATAACAAGGACAGGATATAACAAGGACAGAGATTCCAGGATATAACAAGGACAGGATATAACAAGGACAGAGATTTAAGGATATAACAAGGACAGAGATTCCAGGATGTAACAAGGACAAAGATTCCAGGATATAACAAGGACAGGATATAACAAGGACAGAGATTCCAGGATATAACAAGGACAGAGATTCCAGGATGTAACAAGGACAAAGATTCCAGGATATAACAAGGACAGGATATAACAAGGACAGAGATTCCAGGATATAACAAGGACAGGATATAACAAGGACAGAGATTCCAGGATATAACAAGGACAGAGATTTAAGGATATAACAAGGACAGGATATAACAAGGACAGAGATTCCAGGATATAGGATTTAAGGATATAACAAGGACAGAGATTCCAGGATGTAACAAGGACAAAGATTCCAGGATATAACAAGGACAGGATATAACAAGGACAGAGATTCCAGGATGTAACAAGGACATAGATTTCAGGATATAACAAAGACAGGATATAACAAGGACAGAGATTCCAGGATATAACAAAGACATAGATTTTTAATAGACAAACGTTTCTGTGGCTAAATGACATTTCCTCCGACAAATTAAACCGATACCTAATGACTTACTCCGTGTAATATTAAAATGCATGTTTCTTACCTACCGCAACAATCTGTTCTTCGGATACATCTGAATCGCATTTTTCCTGTAGAATCATCATACGTGATGTTTCATACTGGTACTCTTCGTGGAGATTCTTAGTCCGGTACAAAAGTAACAAAGAAGTAATCACAAAAATGACTAAATGAACGAGCAGAAATGTAGCCACAAGGTTCCCCTTCATTATTACATAGACAATGATATATAGTTAGGCGGCACAGATAATACACTTTGTCTGATCGCTTGATAAGAGTAGGTGACCTCTGACCTTTAGAAAGATAAGAACTTGCGTGTTTCCTTTTGTTTATTTACACATGTTTATGTAATATATTATATGATGATAAGACTGATTTTTGCTGTTAAATTATTTTTTTCGACAATTTGTAAATTGGCGAAAAAAGTCTTGTAGCTAGATAACACAGTAGTCATGTATGCTTAACCAGGGGTTGCTTTGTGTTTAATGCTTGTAAAATCAGGATTGATCGATAATCCTGAAGAAAAACATTTAAGACATGAAATATCCAGTAAACGTAACCCTTGTAATTTCATAATGGACTTAATCAACAGGAAAATTGAAATGAGGAAAAATATAAACAAGAGAAAGATCCATAACACAAACTGACAACCCATGAGGAATAAAATCATTTCTAACTCAGTGTAATGTCAAGTTCTCAACAAAAGAATCGCGTCAGTAATAACGAAACAACTGTGTATCAAATTGCGATCACTTATGGCCCGTTTTGGTTATGTTGTTAAAATATTAAAATGTCTGATGTACTGTTATTGTACTGGGTTTTGAAATAATATAATACAGAATGATTTCACTGTCACCTTGGATAAAATCCGAGGAATGACTTATCATCGATCAATCAAACTTTTAAAATTTACTTGAATATTATTAATCGAGGCAGGTCCGCTGTACTTGCACTGTTGTATTTTAAGTGTATCAGAAAGAAAGGGATCAACCATTGTTTTCGGCTGTACAACAAGCCTGTTTAAATTAAGGTCGCAAATAGTGTGAAGAGATGGCATAAAGAGTACAGAAAAAAAGTACAAAATGTATAACAATATCATGTAGTCGATTTGGCTATGCTTTGGTTAGCACGTGTTTATAGAAGTGCTAGTCTGTGGCCTGTAAACATTACATAACGTATCGTCTTTTACACCGAGTACGCTTACCTTAATTCACGTTTCGCTGAAAAGGATCGGTTAATTCGTTTTGCAGTTTCGCAATAGTTGTTGACAGTGACAAGAATGGCCGAGGCCTAACTACCTACTCATATCTTTAATTTGTCATTTCTCACCATCGATTCACGTTATTTTATAGGACCAAACAATACTGGAATAAATTTCTCACAAATAAAAATAATATCAAATGATGATAAATTTTCGAAACGTAAATGCTCGTAAAAACTGAACTACGTATAATAATGCAGCGTTGTGTCTATATGTAATTGTATCTATGTACCTCAACACACCAGGAATGCACCACTGAAGTGTTTGCTGCAGCCGTGAATATAACTGTTTTAAGACCGACTATCAACTCCTGGCTAGTTATATTGCTTGAATGTTTTAGTTTGATTGGTATGAATCTCGATTTAAGCTGCGAGATATCAGTAGAAGACATGATTTCGGGATTTCTTAGAAGTATTTTCTTGGAATAACGTGCGTTACATTCTCTAAATAGCTAATATTGAATATGATCATATTACGGACACTGTAACTTTATATGTATATATATATATTTTTATTTTTGTTTTGTTTTTAAATACATGTAATCTAAACAATACAAAAGTGTCAGCTTAATGACAAGTCGGTTTTAATCACTCAATCTCTCCAGAAGGCAGCCCGTAATACCTTGATCATACTAATGATTGTAATGACAACTGGTTTTTAATCTGCTCGACATTGACTGTTTAGAGACAACGACACTCAATCTCTCCAGAAGGCACCCAGTAATGATTCATATGTAAACATATGTATAGCTGATGAAAAGGTGAGCTAACAACCGCACATCACACATCGCACACCGCACACACTTTACAGAGCTGAAATCGTAATGACTAGTTATGTTTTAAAACAAACCTACATTTTATAACTTAGTTGCCTAATTCTCGGCCCGTGTTATAAAAATCAGTATAGATTTGTCTTAATGTATCTGACCGTAGACAATTTGTACGACGTGTGTCCCGAATCTCTCAAAGGTTCAGATCTACACAATGGTATTGGAACATCAAGTTGGATTTCTAAATATGATGTAGATTTTGCTTGCTATTTTACATCATAGTCCACAGTGACCCAAAACTGGAAGACGTGTGAAAGAAACCCATCTAACCTGAATGTATGAACGAAATTATTCTGGATGGTATGAAATGTAGAAATCAGCTTAAGCGTGCTTGTGACCATGATAAATGTAAGATCAAAAGAGACAAAGTCAATAGCCAAATCCAAAAGAGGAGGTCGTCATGTCGTAAATCTGTTATCGAAAGTTATTTGGATAATCCGCGTGATTTGTTGAAAGTCATTCGAGATGCCGTTCCGAAATAGACAAGTTGTTCATTATTACTGGTAATGAGGGTGAGGGCATTTAAGATGAAATAGAAAAAGTCTTATTAATTTAACAAGTATTTTTACTTCACAGCACGATAATGCTCATACTGAGTTTACCTTGAAAAGAATACAGGTTTTATATTTAAAAAAAACAATGAAATACCAACATGGCAACATAATTGCAATCCAAACTCACATTCCATAAAATTAGGATATAATATGAACAAAAGAAAGATTTACATGGAAACTCATGAAAAAGTACAATGAGAATAAAATCAGGTGGTCCAGACGTGTATGCGTCTTCAGCTTCATCGACGACACCCGCCCTGAAAACCTTGGTCAGTCAAGTAAGAAATGTCACGTTTTCAAATAAAAGCAAGATATACAACAATGGTACCAACAGGTGATGGCCATACAAAATTATGTTCACTTGTTGGTCTATGCAGGTATTTGCAAAATATCTTTGTATTTTTCATAGAATGGAAAGGAACACAATGTTCTCATCAACATGATCTACCACGCCGGTTTTAAGGTCCATGTTAATGTGGGTGCCGATATATTTGCGTACTTACAGTATCTTTTCGTCTACAAAGCAGTATCTTGCATCAAACATCGATTAATAACATATTCTGGTAATATTGATTCGGATCAATCTGAACTTATCATCAATAATTTGGTAGTGCGCAAATTTTACTCAAAGTTTGTCAAAGGGAGATAACTGCAGACAGCTTTGATTGGAATTTAAATCGCGTCTATTTCGGTAATTAAAACGTATACCATGTCCCCGTACGGTCAGATCATCTAATTTAGTCAAGATATGTTGAGATCACGTGTTGTATAGTCATCACATAAACAATGGTATTATTATATCAATACTTATTTAATTACTGTTTTTCTCTATATGTCTCACTTGACAATATTTCGGATCCAGTTTATAAAGTTGTCACTCTATATCCCTCGATAAGAAGTTTCATTATCCGTGGAGATCGCCTTCAAAACGTATAATCAACATCACTCGGAAGTACACTCAAGTATGACGTCAAATCTAAAACATGTCGAGTCGCCAAGAAGGTAAAAAAATGAAAAGAACAATAAAATTGAATATAAGTCACCACTGACGGTCATTGCGATGGAATAAAAACAGCATACACGATCTCCAAGTCCAAATCACATCACAGAAAACGCTAAGTCGTGAAATTAAATACATTAGTTAAAAAAATGACAATGGAAGTGTTTTAATTTTTTTTAATGCTATACACTACCTGATAATATTGCCACTTCGGTACATGTTAAAGTCTTGTTTTTGTACAGACAATGGTATGGTCGAATTAGATGAATTCATGACCATGATGAGATCCTACAAAATAGATCTGGCTAGGGAAATCACACAAATGTTCGACGTGAATGACATGGATGGCTCCATAACGACAGAGTAAATCTGGGCAACGTGGAATAATATTGGAAACCCGTGTGGATAATGTAAAAAGGATGATTGCTGCTGGAGGTCACAATGGCGTCATCGACTTTGACAGTAGGTTTTTGGTACTGATACCTGTTGCATGTTTTAATCCACATTGTAAGCATGAGCGCAATATTTTCAAACGGTAAATTATGATACTGTTTCAATATATTATTTTCTCTATATAGTACGGAATGAAACAAAAATGGGCAACGAGGGTACGTTATAAGGAATTATCGAACAGTCATGAAAAATACCTCATAAATCAATATATGTATATATATATATAAGAGGAGTTCTTGACGGACGTCTTGACTGTTCAAGAGTCACGACTCGGAATATACTCGTCTACTTGGCTTAAAGTAAACAACAAACTCGTCAAGTCCCATAAAGTACATTTTTTACGTAATTTCGTCGGAATACAATCGTACACTCCATTATTGCAATCGGGCAGAAATATGGAGTAAGACATTTGGCCTGTGTTCTTATAAGGAGGACGAAATCATTTTAAAAAAACGAGTTTCTGGTTGACAACATCTTCGTCGAGTTTGGTGGTAATATCTTCCAACAGACTAACCCTAACAGACATGTCTATGGGAACTAACTGCGCCCTCCATTGACGGAGAGCTTATCAAAATAGATAAAAAAGATCTTGCAAAATCGTTTATTTTCTCTTTCAAATATATTGATTACGTCTTTAAATAACAAAACATATTGACCACTGCTATTGTACATACACATGATGGTGTTTTCGTGGTGTGGCAGATAAGTGGAGTTGAGCTTCGAAAGTGAACGAAAGATTACATCGCTACAATGGTGTTATTCTGGAAAAATGTTTCAACGCTCACGTACACTCTCTAAAATGTATTGGCAGCTTGGAACTTAACCAACAGGATCTAGCTGTATTTGCTTGGTTCAAAAACCTTAAACACGTAGAACGGTTTCTCTTACCGTCCCCAAGGAGCTGATGAAATTGATATCCTTTGGAGGTGACATGAAAGACATGTTTTATTCACTCCAAGTATGTCGTGCTTGTTTCTATAACAACTCAAAACAAGATAATATACAGACGATGATCAGTGATGTAGAAAAAACCAGACCTTGTAATATAGGTTTTATTTAAAACTCTGAATGTTGCTATGTTACTGTTTTATTGTCGCTGTATACGTCACCAA